AAGGTTTATACAAAGGAAAATTTTTAACAAAATTTTCGCAACAATAGATAGTCCGTAACAGGATTGAACATTTAGCAAGAGAAAAAGGGTTTATTCACAATACAATTATAATGTGTTAAATTTTGTTATGTATAATAACAGATTGTTAGAGGTTACATATTCAACCGTTTTGACCCGAGTTGTAAATTTTTGACCCGGTTGACACGGTTTACTATAACCCGGTTCTAAGCTCTAATAAATTGCCAGTATCATTAAGGAGATGGGAATGTGGGATAGTCACTAATATTTATATCAAAAGATGTGCCAGGTGGATGAATCGGTGCTTTCTGCATATCTCTTCGAATAGATTGGCCGATCTCTTCTAATTTCATGGCGTTTCTTATTACATTTTGGCGAATTAGCCATAAGCTATGCACGAACCCGAGGATGAATACTTCATCATCTACCATTTTGTATGGAATCATCAAATCAAAAACTTTACGAACACGGTAAAAAGGGGAACCAGGCTGATCAATAATACATATTCTGAGACGAGTTTCTACAAAATATTGATGTCTATGAGTATTATGTACTTAAATAAATGTCAAAATAAAATCAAAATGCTTTACCATATGCTTGAAATAGAAACACTTCTATTTCATGAATTTGTTGCAACAAATTTTTTCCATTTCGGAGATATTGCAAATTGTTGAAAATTAATTCAACATCCATTTTATATTTGGAATCCCTTCCTAATCGAAACAATTTAAAATTGTCCGATGTGATTTTTGTTTGGTCAGGTTGAAACGGGCTTCCCGATGCTTCCTCGTAGAGAGTTTCTTGTATCGTGTGGTTAATGGTTTGCAAGAGCCAGAGATCAGGCTTTCTTGAGTAGGTTTCCTTACGGAAACTTGATGCTAACGAACATGCTTCGCCCCTAACAGAGATAAAAGGATTTATATTAGAATTTTTATAAAGGGTGGTTATGTTAACCAGGGAGGCAAGCTAGCAATATCCATTAAAAGAAATATTGTATTACCAATTCCAAAAACAGCCAGCGATATTTTTGGTAATTTCTTTGAAAATAGGATCCAACACCTGATGGTGCCAAGTACCTTCTAAACAATAATTTTCGCTTAAAGCGGTATTCCATAGTTCAAACCTAATATAAACATAAATTATAAGGATCTTTAGCATATCAAATCTTAAATCTAATATCAAATTTTAATTTAAAATTCTTACAATATACGACACACATTTCTTATGAATTCATAAAATGAATGTTTTTTATCTTCTTTATGAACATTTCCAAATGTATCTTTGTCCCAATTATTACGATCATTAAAAAATTTGGCAAATATCATCTTAAATTCTGCCGAAGCATCATTGTAATATTCGGTGGGAGCTCTGAATATCTGATAATAAATTGATGGTGGAAGTATAGCGCACAATTCTTCTTGTGGTTCGGTGAGATCAACAATATAGGATAATACGGGATGGTCATAATTTAAGTATCTGATTTTATTCCAGCTGATGGATTTAGCGAACACCTGGCCAATATCTATTGTAACACTGTTTTCATGAACTATCCATTTGCTTGGAATGTTCTAAAAAGAATTATGCGAATATGTTATAAATTATAGTTTTTTTTAATTTAGATATAAATACAGTCGTACTCCTCTATAATCACCCAGTTGTTCTATGCAAAAAATATGTAATTATAAAAATTCTTATGATGTGCTTATGTAGAAGTATCTTTTATAAAATTATTGAATTTTTTCAAAATTTAAAGTGATTATATAGAATTTGTGATTATATAGGAGGTGATTATAGAGGAGTATGACTGTAATAGCATATATAAATAAACCACCTGGAGAGCTTTGTATTTGTAAAACACCTCCATTTTTCTAAGATCTCCATTAATATTTTTATTAGGGGCTAGTTTCTTCTTGTTTAAGGTTGATTTGCCTTTTGATTCGCACCACCTGACCAAAGCTCGTGGATTCGTTTCATAAAGATTAAAAAAATACCTCGTTTGACAGTTTGCCTCTAACTCAAAATTTGGAATAAATGATACCTTCGTTAGTATAAGTTAGAAATAAATATACATCAATCATATATTTTAGTAGAGTTAAACCGCCTAAGACCTAATATCATATAGACAGCTAACCCTACTATATAATCATCGATAAACCTAATTACCTCTAAGT